GATACCATAGGTAATTAGTTCAAGACGGCAGGAGAAGAAAACAGAAGCAGGATTCGAGTACATAAAAACGAGTAATTCCATTCTGAAGGCGCTTATAAGTCAACGAGTATTTAATGAGCTTCACCCAAGAGAATGTAAGACATAGTTGCGAAACCGGGTGCATGGCTACTCGACTACAATGTGTACTTGACGAGCGCTCACGTTAAACTGCTTGGCATCTTCTGAATGGAGTTCTTGAGACTTCCGCGTTCACAAGCCACGGCTGCCTTCACAAAAGCGGCAAGCGAAGATGTCTCTTCCGCAGAAGGAACGTTTCGCAGGGTTGAATTGCAAAATTGGAAGGTTGCATGCAGCAAACCGGTGCAGTTTCGTGCCTCCCGAGTTATTTATATACCACCTGTACTATTGAGAAATCATCCCGGGGGTCAATGCTGTAACCATCCCAGTAAAAGTCAGAAGGAAGGTTCATGTCTGCTCAATATATGACCCTTATGAAACCCACCAACTGTAAAAATAATGTTATTTCGACAATATTTGAAAAATATTATCTACTTTAAATAGTTGATAAAACACTACCTAAGTTTCAAATCGTTTTGTGGACAACTCAGCTTACTACTGGGTCGCGCAGACCCAGACTGAAATCAACTGTCATCACAACTTCGGTACCGGACCGATTCCAATATGACAATAAGCATGCGAATCGTGATTGTACATTATTTTACAAAACTTCCAACTGAAACTTGTCATATTCAAGTGAAGAGCACGAGGCTCTAGGAAACTAGGAGTACCCATACGTTTCAATGGAGAATCTAAAGGGTGCGGTAATTTTGACAATTTTTCCTCTTCCGCAACAATGGAGTAGGAATTGCAAAGCACCTTCCGTCGCATTGTCTTCAAGAGTGCATGAATCTAATCCATCGATACAGTATCTTGAGATTTTGCGATTATTGCGATGATGTGCACTGCATGCATATTCGGTGGGTACTTCAATCAAACGTAATAGAAAGCACTTGCCTTCAGGCACGATGGGCACACTATTATAAACTAAATGAACATCGAATCCATAGCCCATATCGTTTGAAGTTGCTCTGACGGACTGGATACCTCCCAAGATGGTTAGGAATTTTTCGAGTTGCCCCAACTAACTGATAGTCAATTAGTCCTGGGCACTATTAAATACAAGTGCGTCGTTTTGTCAAGCGGGGCTTGTAAAATGCAAGACTTGTGAAATACACCTCTGGCACTCATTAAACAAGATACAGGAGAACCAGTTTTGTGACAGCCCTACTCCATGTCCTGTTGGAAGAACCCGCCCCCTTCAACGGTGAGTGGGAAGGGGGAGTTAACAAATTACGTGTGAATCGAGACAACATCTACTCGAAACCGAGCGCGTAAGGAATGTCGCAACACTGACAGTTACAGATATAACCTGTTGATGCGTTATAGTAGCCACTGCGGCGTTTCAGTCCGTGCGAAAAAATCTTACATTATCTGAAACACCGTTTCCCATCATACAGAGGCCAAGGGCCTCATTACCGAGGTCAAGCCAGCTGCCTAGTATAAGTCACTGTGAAAGCTTTGGTTCTTATGAATTACGGCCATGTGCGTCCATACACGACAGGACGAGGACTTGCACAAAGCTTCTCTGTACAGATAATGGGGAGCTAGGCCGACTAAAGATATTTTTTTCCTCCCACTTCGCCCTTAATGCACTGAGTGTCCTGTCCGATGCACGCAAGAGGGCCGTTTTTCAGTCCTCCTGTTGGCCTCGCCTAGACAGGGGAAAATGGGGAGAGAGAGAAAGCCCGAGAGAGAATAATCCTATAATGAATGTAATGCTCCCACAATTTTTCTCATCATCATCATCATCATCATGATTCCCGTATAGAAAAACCGGGGAGACATGGACGCTGGCGTACACACACACATACATGTTGGGAGACCACAGTGCGGTCCCCAGAGTCTGAGATTCGCATGGGCGTTCACGCAAGTCTCCCAGGCATCAGGCCATTCCCTCTCAACGTGTGCTTTCTTCCCCTCTCGCAGTATCAAACCATGGCATGGAAGGAATCGACGAGGCCGAAGATAGCCACGACGTATGATAAAAATGGATGTCCCGCTGATATGAAATAGTTAATAACTACTATCATGTTATAGTATTCTTCAGTGGGAGTTTTCACATTGTCGTTGAGAAACTGTGTTGTCCGTTGGTAAAGTTGTAACATTCTTGCCGAACAAATGCCATCAGCTTGTACATCGAAAGCCACTTCATCTTCGAATTTATGCTAGAGAGCGGATTGATTGTCGAATACTCTCAGAAGAATGTCCTAATCTTCATCTAGTCAGGTTTACCGAAAGGGAGACACGTAGCTCACGTAGATCAAACAATGGCACGCAATGACAGGTTCGGAGATTCGAAATCAATCACGGGAGCCGATAGCAATCGAGCATGCGTTCGCGGAATGGAAATCGAGGCTTTCGAGATCGCTGACGGGCAGCCAACTTCTAGACGTGAAAACATAAAAAACACGCTCGGATGAGTAGCAAGTCAGATAGGAAACAATAGATCGATTGCAGGTGCTCCATCATCATTGACGCGACAGGTGGATATGGATGGAAGCGTGGAGACTCAACGAGCCCCCATCTATCTAGTAAACGTGTAATAATCGCCGTACGTGAATGGCCATTTCTCGATGCTAGCCTGCAATTCCATCGCGCACTCAATTGAATGAGACTGCCACTTTGAGACCCGGCTTCTCCACCCAACTCCATTCCCACTCGGCCATCACGACATGCATCGTGTGCACGACCAAGCTGCAGGTACGGCAGGTATGTGGGCCGATTCGGCGGAGATTCAAAGACCGACGCCGAAGGAAGAGATGATCTTCCGAGATCTCGGGAAGTCGATGGCTCGTGAGAGGCTGCACGGAGGGCTTGACAGCAGGGAACAGGGTCTGATAGGATCTTATCGGAGGAGAGTTTTCTTTTACCCCCTCGGGCTTCTTGGCTCGAGGGGTTCTCGTCTCTCTCTTTCTACAGCTCTAGTCAGCTGGGGCTTTGAAGCTCCGAGCTAGCATTCCACAGACCCACTAAGGTCAGAGACTCAGCCTCTCAGCCTCAGGACTCGCACCCCAAGATCCTTCCTCGTCCCGCTGCATTTCCTCTTATCGAACTCCTCCCAAATCGAACAATGATGTATGCTAAATCTATCTTCCGAATGATATATGGCAATGTACCGTTGCAATTCGTTGGCATGCATGGAGTGCAATGCTGAACACGATGACGCAAGCTACGAAAAAGCGGGATGCAAGGACAGACGCCAGCGTCAGAGCTCGGAATCATCGAAACTCTGATACATGGACGTCAAAGTCAAGCTGAAACACAGTCTAAGGGCAATAGATGTATGAAGGGGCCCGGTGGTGGGCCATTGAGCCATGGATTCAGCCTGCGGGGATGCCCTTTGTAACTAGAGAGAGAGAGAGAGCGAGAGGGGGGGGGGGGAATCAGGAAAGGGAACCAAGCTGCACAAGGGCACGATAGCCTCGGAGAAACAAGCCAGTCTTGTTCATACTAACATGATAATGTGGTATGCGTACCTCAGTCCCTGTCTCATTTGAGAACATGGAGATCCGGTTCTGCTTCCACAATATAAACACACCCTCTCGTACTCATTCCCAAGTTCCTTGTCTATTTTGGAAACGTTCGTTAAATTATGGGAAACAAGGAAATAAGGCTCGCAGGGAGCATGGGAGGTAGACGTTGATATTTACTCGGTATTCTCTGTTAATGTAAATTTTCAAATACACAAGCCATTGAAGGAGTGCAGCACTGAGTCAGGCAAAGATATGTGAAAAAGACAAGCCCGATTAAAAGAAGCTACCGCCATCTAGTCGGGGAAGCAACATCACGTTTCAAAGACAAGCAAGTTTGCATTCGGTTTCATTTCTCGAGATTCCGTAACTTGCAATAAAAGGGTTACGCCATGAACTTCATCAATTGGGCCGGGAGAATCGCCAAGTTGAGCAAAGGAGGCCGGGCAGGCCAAACGGGGGAAGTTAAAATCGCCTACAGCGGTTACCGGAGGTCCCACGGAGACCCCAGTGACAAGGTGGTTATCGACAACCATGGGACGAGGAATGGCGAATTAAGTTTACCTCCTTGGGGAAGATGGTCACTCAGCAGGAACCCTTGCCTATCACGGACCCCCTCAGTTTTCGCTTGACACGATCATCTCCCCGTCACCCCGGGAGGCCTGGTTCACCTTCTATAACAGACCCTTCTCTCTCTCTCCTCATTGGTGATCGGCGACCGACAGAATTCTCGACAAACACAACTGGAACCAACAGGCCTTTTTCTTTCTCCGTCTCTGCCTTACAGAGTGGAACGTGGAAAGTTCCATCTTACTGGGAATGCATATAGGTCACCGCGAATAATGGAGCTGTGGTTCTGGTAACCACAAGTGCAATGAGCTGAGCATCCCGCGATTGAGGCGAGGTGCGGCGCGGGCCTATAACCCACGCTCGATCAAAGAGGACATTACTTCGAGGTCTCGTGAGAACGTCCCGAGGCAATCATTTAAAGGGACCTGGAACGAGAAGGGCCTGGGAGAATGAGGACTGAGAACGGGGTCTGGGTCCTCCCTCTCCTCTCCTCTCCTCCGGCATGTTTATTTATATTACCAGGAAGACGAGAGGGAAGAACATTCCTTGCAGATCTCGGCCTACCACCCTTCTTGGCATCTGGATACATCCTGTGTGAGCGGAGAACTATTCGCTTTTGCGGGGAGAAGGCGCACAGACTAGTCAAGTCTTAACCTCAAGATCTTTGTCCGCAAGGGGAGCACCTGGAAATTCGCCAACTGGTGCCATGCCATTTCCGTCACCTTTCACCCCTTGGGGTGCCAAGGATGACACTGCTAGCTCACCGCTTCGAGATATCAATGAGCAACGTAAAATACTTTAAAGCGAGACAATAACAAGCGTTTTCTCATGCAAAACGAATTACGTCTCAGGAGGAGCCGTGTCAAAGGAACAGGGCTCTCCAGAGTAAGATGAAGGGCTTGCTTGCTTGCAAGGGACAGTGGTTCGAGTAAAAGGGGACATCCACGTGTACCCGTTCGGCAGATGCACTAGCATACCAGCAATTCGCAGAGCGACACCTGACTATGAATTATGACCGGGAAGCCTGCAGGCGTATCAAAATACGGGCCCCATTTATTACCGACACAAGGCAAGAGAGAGGGAGAAAAGGGAATAATTGAACATGGAATCATGGTTGACGAGCAGCTTCATCTAGAAGTATGAAATGGTCTCTTTTTTCTTCTTCCTTGCCCACTTTTTCTTCCTCCGTTCCCTGGCATTAAACTACCTGCTTCGCTCCATTGCTTGTAAATAAGAATCTCCCACGATATCACAAGCCCTGAAAAGCTATGGGCTGACCTATCTTACAATGTCCCAAGAAGCAGTTCTGAATGATAGTGTAACGAGTGCACGAGAAAGAGGCCGGGAAACGAATGATTCGTCCTTAGCCGTAGAGCACCCACCCACTGCTCCCATCCCATCCATATCCAGCAACGCCTTGGCTATAGTATTGATCCGGTTCTCTTCTTTCCATGCCATTCAGTCGCCCTGCCCGTCTTTCATCCCATCGGCTCCCCTAGAGGCCAAAGAAAGCAGGATCATCAAACCGGAGTGCACAACCGTGGATTCCCAAGGAATTCGAGGTATACCGCTTCTGCATCCTGACTCATCTGAATCTGATGCGGCTTCGCCATTGAAAAAAAAAGCTTATGTTTATCGCATCATGTCGAAGTGATGACGCGCGGAAGTTCCGAAGAATGAACTCTGAAAAAGCCACGGTACGCTTCTACTCCTTGGAGGAGTGAATAGGCAGGATAGGAGCCTCAGCTAGCGCGGGGAGGGAGGGACGTAAGGGCAGCTTCTCTCGGGTTCTCTACCGTCAAACTGGTTATATATCGACGGGTGAGATCAGAATACCAAGAAGGCCCGGGAGGATGGCGAGAAAAATCCAAGACGAACCAGTTCTGAAACAAGTGCCACACGCTTACTTCACGTTTGGCCAGATATAAAGTGAACTCTACAGGACGAGATTTTCGAGATCCCATGCACTGGGCTTGGTCATGCCGAAGGGAACGAACCTATCCTTGTTCTAAACACCATTGCATCTAGGACGAATGAATTGCTCCACTGTCTGCAGACAGCCTCTGCGATGATAGTTTCATATCAAACGAACTGCACCCCGAAGCCAAGCCTCCAACGGACCAGACGAGAGGAGTAATACACACACATATATATAATACAACCTCTCTCTGGCGCCGAATCGTATGCATTCCACTCCTCGTGGGGGAGTCTCCATTTTCATGCGTCCATAGAAATTATATATTGCACACATTCCATGCCTCACACGAGGGTAAGATCTGTCGGCATCGAAATTGCATCCTTTGGAAGAGGAACATCACATACCACATTCCAATGAAGACATCCCAGGGGGCATTCGATTTTTATTAAATTGATCATGGAATCAATATTTCTGTGAAGCAATACCAGAGTAGCATCCATCCATTATTTTTGGGGGATTAAAAAGACTTCAAAATTCGGCGACCATGCGCAGACAAAGACAGGAGCAAAACTCTTTAGTGTAACCGTGAGTTTTTTCTGAAGTTGTCAGTAGACAACCAGACAAGTGAGCAACCCATCCATGAGAATCCATGGGAGAGTTTTGGGTTTCCACCTTTTTCTCCCTCTCACTCTCCGTCGTACTTGGCCTAGAGACGGCATAATGAATCCATGGACTATATTTAGATCCATTGGAAGAGGGAGACGACACTCAGGACGAGAGGATGCAAATATAGCAGGGTAACACGTGCGAGTCGCTTGTTACAGAAGCACTGAACCTCAACGCTTCACCTCTCCTCGTGGATTAGAGGAGACGAGAAGAAAACAATGCATGAACACACCAAGGCGCCTCACGATCCTCATCCTCGTTAATGGCAAATAGGCATAGGCACCAGGTGAAGCGGACATGGCGGCGGCCCACCGCACGCTGCCTCCTCCCTCCCTTCTCCCTCGGATGCTTATTAATATTCAGAACAAGCTTCTCTTCTCGCTAGGAGGCCTCCGACGCCTTTAAAATATCTCCGTCCATGCCCTACACGACTCGCATGCCAATTATCTGCGGCAGAAAGGAGGGGGGGAAAGAGGGGAAGAGAGAGGAAAGCGACGCCTTTTCCCTCTTCCTCTCTCGGCTTTAGGAGCCTTTGCAATATCCGTGCCAAATGACGGAGGGGTCTGTACATTTGCCAAAGGGTCCCGCACCTTATCAAGAACGATCGACTTCCCGGAATTCACTCTTGATTATCAACGGATCGACCTGTGCATTAAAAAATCAAGCAGGAGCACAAACTCGCGGGCTCCAACGTTCCCAACAGGCTGCGAGCACTACTTCCCATCGAGGGAGACGAGCCTCGACCCGACCCGACCCTTTCAGTCGTATGAGGTCTTGATGTTCCCAATTCATCAGCGGGAAGTGGAGGAGTAAGTACAGAAAGGGAGGAAGACGGACGGGGGGACCGGGAAGAATGACTCTTATGGAGAGAAAGATGGATTGTGGCGAGGAATACGTGCAGAAATGACGAATGAGAAGCCCCGAGATAAAGAAAGGATAGGAGAATGATTCATTGATTCCATCAATCGCTCACTCTCGCTCCCGGTAGCACCGGCTACCGCATACACACGAACACGTGAAGATCCACCGAGGGGAGTTCTCAAAAATGGATCAGATGGGGCACGTGGAACAAGAAGTCGAGTCGGCAGGTGGGTTTGTCATGTCACATGCACTATCAGCCGGCGATTAGAGTGACAGCGCGATCCTGTCGTCCCCTTCCGTCGTCATTTTTCTTCCTCCGACCCGAGCGAGGCCTCGCGATTTGACAACATGGGGCACTTTGCAAGTCTCCCTCATCAATCGGCCACACTATACTTGCTCTAGGTCTCTGTATTCCGGAGGTTCCCCGTGGCTTTCACCGCGAACAGTAAGCCACACGAAACAAAAAAAAAAAATACAGCAATAAATTTTGACTCACCAGTTTTCTCTTTGATCTCACAGAGAACATTGAATAAGGCAGGCTTCATTCGATGGCAGTTCAAGGTGTGCTTCCTGAAAAGAAAAAGAAAGGGATCGGAATCAATCAGAAAGTCATGGGACGTCCACAGGAAGTGGAAACATGAATCCTGTCAATGCTACCCGAATGTCAGAGACGGAAGCCTAGTCTAAACACTGCGTCACAGAACTAAGCCTAGTCACAACACTACGTCGTCACAGAACTAAGCTTGTGCCTATTCCTGGGCAAGTCAAGGCACATTAAGATGCCCAATCCAAGTACTTCGGATGGGCGAGGAATCATACGAGGTCGCTTTGAATTCACTTATCTTTACTCAAAAGCGTGAGTAATCCTAAGCAAAACGGTAGTTGGGCCTTCAGCCATTCCACAGCGTTCTTCATTTCGTACTTGCATGGCAAATAAATCTAAACAGACGACTTCCATCGATGAAGACTCCAAAATATATGATACAAAGCAGAAGTAACTGCTTTGTATCATATCATTTGAAAGATGGCTTTCTCGTGGTCGGATTTCTCTCAGAGCTGTGGTCTCCGCTTCAGGACTGTAAGCTTCAAATCCTTCGACCAGAACAATACTTACAGAGCTGCAGATTTTTGTCTCATCTGCACGTTACAACCTCTATATCCATGAAAAAGAGTAACAATTCCGTCCAAATTCGTATTAGAATTCACCTGATTAATATTTTCATTTATGCTGATTGCCAAAGTACTCCAAATGCATTTCTATGTAGATTTTGTTCCAAAGAAAGCCTAAATTATGCCTTCCTTCCCTGCTCCAAATGGAATTTGATTACTAAACAGGTAGAAAGTTCAGGGGGAATGCATTCCAACGCGGATTCCAAGAAAATAATGGCTTTTTAAACGCATGCAGTCAGGGATATTTTCAAGCAGGCAAGATAATGCGCTTTCCTCCAGCTTTTCCAAGAAGTAACTGCAGTCTACCCGTATCTGCCTGAGCTGGTATATTACCTTCTTTTTCCCTTGATTGCTCGTCATCCTCTTCCGCGACGACGGAAAAAGGAAAGCTAGAGAAAGATGGCTTTCCAAAGACATCCAATTTGCCGTCATTGCAGCACAGGATTAGAAGCAATCCAGAGGAAAAGCAAGAATTACACCAGCTCCATTAAGCCCAGGGAACGGGGATGGCTTCTCATAGAAAGGCTTATTAGTCAGGTCGAGCAGCCTCGGTGCCGCGAAAAGGAGGGAGAAGAACTTTCGTACTGCCAGACTGCCTGGAAGAGGGGAAAAGCAAGCGAGGGGAGGCTTTCTTTACTCGAGAGTGACCTTGTGGTCGTGGACTTCACGCAGAGATGGATTCTGGCCATCTCAAGGCTCTTCTCCATGCCCTCGCTCAGATCGGGAAGCAAGATATCAATGGCGTTATTTCCCGTCGTTTTCTGAGGGCTAGAAGAATAAGCAGCTTCGAAGGTCTCCTGCCTCACAACAGAATCCGATTCGAATTCGTGATCAGGCCAGGGCAAAAAGCCGACAAAAACGCTCCTAACAGAAGCTCCTTAATTCATGATCTCCAGAGATTCATGGCAAGATCGTGCACTGTTTTGTCTTCAATATGTTCAACACTTCATGAGTTCATTCCATTATTTTCCGAGAGTTCCGAGCTTGTTTCTTTCGTGTTTGAACTGTAAGGCATATAAATCGATGACCCCCATTCTGAGAAGGACCAGAAGGTAGAATCCACTTGAATCAATATTGCCAGTTTGTTTGAATACCTTGAAGCTTTGGGCGAGACTTTCATCGTACGACGTTCCTCAAGGGCTTCAAGACCAAGGGCAGGGACAAGATTTATGGCTTCCATTTTTGCCATTCCAACGGATGCATCCCTACAGTGTGCTGCTAGACTTTATCATGGCCGAAGTTTTCAACATTGTAATCTCTAATGAGATTTAGAATGCAACGACCAGTCTCATTGTGTTACTGCTTAACACCATGGAAGGCTGCCGATGCGAAGTACAAGGCATCAATAAGTTCTTTCAATGACTAAAATGTATATCGTACCTGAAGAGGACTTGGATGAGACTTAATATACCAAAACTCGACGATTTTATTGGGAGCATAGAGGTAAACAAAACTCATGTACCATTACCACTGTTCAAATTTCTGCTTCCGAGACTGGGCATCCTTTGGGGTGTCAGTCAGGCTCTCAACCTATTTAGCAGAAGCAAAAGTGCCATGGTTGCAACTGTTTCCCTGTTCCTCTCATTTTTAACCATCCAAGTTATGCTTGGTGTAATATTTAACGTCAAACTGCGGTAGGCTGAGAGATTGAACCAGTCCGGCAATTGAAACAGATCGAGAAGCAGACGCTCAAAAACAAGCCGAGTAAATAAAAATAATCATTTTGTCTTGACTATGTAACTTGTGAACAGTCCGATTGTCCATGAACTTGCGCTTGGTGAGCCAGTTCACTAACCATGAGGTTTCATATATATGTAATACAAATTTAAATTATTAGAAAATCTCTAAAACTTTGCAGGAGACTTTAATAACACTGTCTGGCCTTGGGGTTCCCATCTGACGTTTCTCAGAATGTAACAATGAAGAGTTTTCCGTTAAGACCATGGCAGGCATCAACTTCACAGGAACCGGGCGAAATGTTGCAATTTATATGCAACGCTAAAAAAAAAATGAAAATTCTGGCAACTCAATTTCCCCCCTCATTGAACAGGGATGAGAGTCAGAGAGGATTACATGACCTCTCGGGTCTTCTTTCTGCCAGCCTAAAGTCATGCAACGTCTCGTTATGACGAACTGAACTGTTACTGAAAATTAATTCGAAATCATATGTATCATTCCGTGAACGGGGACATTCTTTCCAAATAAAAATGTATTGTGACTTGGAGGAAAAGATTGGCTCAGATGAGGCACATTGGATTTGAACAAAGCTATTGTTACATTTCCTGCCTTGTGAATAGAGCTAATGCATACTTGAATATGCTGCAAAGGTTTTACTACGGGAAGTTTTATTATTATTATCGGATGCATGAATCTGAAAAGGAAACAAGACAATCAAATCATGGTGTACTTAATAAACAAACGGGCGGGGGAAGTCAAACATACCATGCTCCTTATCATGTCCTCCATTTGAATTTAAGTTTTTTAAAATGGCGACGATTTTGCCAGACGATGCCTTCCCCTTCCCATGAATGCCAGTATAAAAGGTGTCTCATAAAATAAAATTTAAAAAAAGTTAGAGAAAGACCACAGTTTAACTCTCAACCTGACTGGTAGAATGGATAGGTCTACTCGCGAGGCCTACGCATAGACTTTTATAGATTTCAAGTTCGGCTAATGTCGCGTCCACTGTGTGAGCAAACGCTAGGTCATACTGGTCAGACCCATTGCTTGAAACAACCTTCCTGTTGAGCCTGGTAAGACTGACCGCAACCGTTTGGGCTGGCCAGAGCTAAGATCGCCAACACATAGGCCTAGGCCGAGGCCTAGCCTATGCGGGGCTCGCGTTAACGTTAGGCTAGCGAGGCCTATCCTTAAAAGCCTTCGATATGTTAGGCCTAGAAGAATCAAACGACACAATCCACAAACCTGGCCTGGGCTTCATCCAAGCTTTGGTCAGTAATGTTCATGATCTGTTGGAGGATTTCATTGATGTCATGCTTCTGTCCATCGGGCTCCGGTGTCGGAGCGCCGTGACTGCCATCCATGGGCTGCATGCCGTAAGGTTGAGGCAGCCCCATTCCCACAGAGGTGACTGGATGCAACATTCGGCTGTCCATACCACAGCACAAACTGAGATTGCACGGAATTCGTTCACTGAGGCACAACACGAGTTTTAAGCTGGTCGGCGGGCAATCCAAGTCCTCCCACACTTCATGGGCACGACATGCCTCGGCCTACGCCTTACGGTTAGGCTAGCAGATGAGAGCCGACGTATCACAGCTTCCAGCACAATGCATACAGAGCCGCGGCTCCCACTCAACTCAGAGCCCAGGCATCATACTCCACACGGTGCAGGGGGAGTTCCACGTGATTCCGCGCTGAAACCAGCCAGGAGGATCGGACCGTAGAACGGACTACACGGGCAGACAGAAATGATAAGTTCAGCTGTTCGAGATTTGACAGATAGAGCCGGCGTGCTGAGGATCTTAGCAATATGCCACTCAACGTCCAAGAGCTATAAAACCTTCACTCAATGTGCCATTTGGGGTAGTCGAGCTGAGCGGAGCAGCCAATCAGCGCTCGCTCCGAGACATCCATTACTTTGTCTGACGCTGCCAATCATGGGGGGCTTGCGCGAGGCTAGCAGACGCCGGGGAACCAAAGCCTGCGCACTCTCTCCCTGTCATCGGGGATCAATTTTCGACTTCACATACCGAGACTCCTTGCCACATTCTATCGTGATGTGCGAAGCTCCATGTAAATTTCCATTAGGATGTGGAAAAAATAGCGAGATTCCATTGTGTAGGAGCGGGCTCGCCGTAGCCTTGTGACAGTTCAAAGCCCGTGGAGAGAGAGGGGGGGAGGGGGGTTGGAGCTGGTATCGCCCCTCTGTGCCCTCATCGCGCATTCCCTTCTCAGTCCTCAAGCAGCCTTCGCCGGTGAAGGGACGCGCTCTCCTTTATATACTAACAATGGCTTCCTCTTTCCTCTCTGCCCACGCATTTGCTTCGCTGATTCAAGAAAAAGGAAAGGATGACAAAGGGGAAAAAAAAAAGAGGATGCGTTCTTATGGCTGCCCGCTACTAGCAGTTCATGGATGTGCTGTAAAGGATTCGCTTCCCGTTCATTGTAAACGACACTGATGGAATTTCTCGGTGAAAGGTTACGGAAAAGATGACCTGAATCAACTATTCTTCCAATTCTAGACTTTCCCTCGCGAATCATTCCATTGTCATGCACCGGAAAGGCATGAATTGTATTTGTTATGGGTTATTCTTTGCACAAGTCGCTTCGACAGGATGATAGTACTCTTCGTGCCCGTTGCACCCCCAGAGCTGCATTCCGCAGTTTCGTTCAGTGAATGAGAAACTTGGAATAGACATTAGACATCGTGCAAAGAGATGGTGCAGCTCATATCTTGCATCTTTCGTACATAGGCCTAGAGTTGCTGAAGCTTGAGAGACACAGCAACGGAGCGTGTCGATTGAATCGTCCAGTTAAGCTGTCATGGGGGACGCTCCCCCCACTCCAAGACGGTCAAAGCCATGCCTCGACGTTGAAAGACAGCTTCATCACGACGAATAGAAAACTAAAGCGTTCCAATGAATGGCTTTGAAAGGTTCAATCCGAAATGGCCATCAGTCTCTGGAAGCGGATTGCACCATCTCATGGAGCACCATCTAGAGCTACAGAAATAAACTGAAGCTTTCTCATACCTTACATAGATCGCGCGCATCTACAGGGAATGCCAATGCTGGAGAATTCAGAGAAACGGAGCAACTCATTGCTTTTCTGAGAAGATACGTACAGATATCACAATTTCGTCAAAGCTTTTTCTGTAATTTTTAACTATTAGGAACATTTGAAATGCCCCATCCTGCTGCTAAGGAAATTTTAGTCTTAATCAGGTCAGTTAGCGTGCTGGGCAGTAATTGAAATACGATTACTTGAAAAATGATTTTTTTAAACATTTGTAGCATTATTTGTTTTGAATTTCAAGGCACTCTATTCAGAAAATATTTAGTATATGGGTTTTTAAATACTCCAAGACAAGTATTTCATACTTGCATATGCTAATGAAATTTAAAAATGCTTAAAGTACTGTACAGGGTGTCCCAAAATGATTGGTACATTAAAAAATATTTCTCGTAAGTTAATACATGTAGAAATGAATTGCTTTCACCAATGCATGAAACACAGTCTAGAGTTTTTTATTATTCACAATTGCTCCTTGGTAAACTTCAGCATCGGCACCATTAGTCGCTCGTAAGATGTCGAGCCGATATTCAATTTCATTCAATTTCACGCCAGATATTCCTCAACATGTTGGCAGTAACTGCGACAAATGCATCACAGATTCGACGTCTGAGTTCAGTAACATCTGACGTTTTGGTTCTGAAGACGACGTCCTTTAAGTATCAAACTTGCCGAGGGAAAAAAATGGAGGAAAATGTAACTAGAGATTAATGGTTTCTAAATCCTTGTCAATGTAGACGATAGCACAATTGTTGACAGGGGCAAATTCTCTTCCAAAGAGTTGGGTGGAAACATCGCTATTAGCTTCCAACATTGCATTTTGGGAATCTTCTTTCCAAGTACCAAGTAGAGTACCGAGGGGCGTTGTGAAATCCTCGAACCATCAAGCATGCAACTACAGTTCTGAATTTTAGTCCACGTCTACGGGTATATCCAAAGGCACAGGTCCGTTTATAGATCTAAACGCTGTGAGGCGCAGAGCTCGTCAAGTAAACGCAGTCATGCAAGAACTGAAGGGAAAGGAATCCACGTGTGATGATATGCAAAAGGACTGTCCGACAGCGGGTTACATACTATTTAGAAAATGTAGCCGATTGAAAAAGGGGAATCGGCTGACTTGGAAGAGATCCATCAAAATCAAAGATATCCAAGAAGGACAAGACTATTGGTAAAGGAAGAAGGCATCCGACGGAATTGAGCCATGCATAATGGCGCCCATTGTGGGGTAATATGGGGCGCAAAGTCCCGAGAAACCCAAGAAGTTACCATAGACACTATGAAAATGCATCGTCCATTGGAATGGACGCTGGCTCTGAAAGGGATAAAGTAGATATGAAAGTCGAAATTTCTTCCTGTCGATATGTTCTGGGCTGCCTAGTTTGGGCAGTCCTCCCAGTCCGGAAACTTTGTGAACCTACTACGCATGCATATATCGATATATAACTCGATATGCGAGGAGGAGGACCTTTCGCATAGTTACGGTTTTTGACGCAGCCATATGAAAGAAATCTAAAATGAACAGTCATGAGACGTTCAACGGAAATGGCAGGTCTAATCGCCCCAACGACTTCTGCTAGATCATCTTTTTGCTGCTGGAATTTTGCTTTCATTCCGAAGTTCAAACACCATCATCCTTGCCCTTGACTCTTCGGTACTGCGGGCACTGCGGGTACTGCGAGCCTCTCGTGGAGTTGGAAGGGAATCTCAAGTTTTTTTTAATTATCGGTTCTTCAGTGGTATTCTCCAAATTCGATGGAGTCGAGATGTCGGTCGGCAGGAATGAAAATAAAAATAATCAGAAAAAGAACCAACTGTGCTGTTTTGCTGGTCGAAGAAATACCAATACCAATACCAATACCAAGCAATACCATCAGCATCATTCAGGTTTGAATCTGGCTGAAACTCACTGCGTGCAAGCGTGGCACTCCTCGAATCTCAAAATTCCATGGCGGTGGATTGCGATATGGTGTTTCATCGAATTCGTCCTTCGTTGCCCCAATGTTGGGAAAGAGGTGCGAGAAAATCACTATCTTTTGTGGGCTGACATGGGCTTACAAAATGGGTTTTACGGAAGATAAAAACTCAGCCGGCTGAGTTTTTGCTTAAATAGTTGCTATGAGAAAACTAGGAAATTCCACCACGCAAGATTGCGAATGTGAAACCAGATCTCAACTAAATGATTCGAGGAAAGTCCTCGGGGATTACGCGTGAGCCACAGAAGGCCGGAATGATAAAATGTCAGTGTCCTCTATGATATTAAGATGCGTTACGTCACCAAAGTCAATAATGCGATAGACATTGGAAAAAAGAGCCTCCGGCCTTTGTGGAGAAATGATCCTACGAAGGAGAGTGCTTGTGGTTTATTTTGCTACAGTCTTCATGAGCGGAATTCACTCCGCATTGCGTGAGAAAAAACTGGCATTACTCATGATGAACGAAAGGCGGGACTTGATCCCCCCCACCATTCTATGGCCACTGGCTCCCCCCCTCCCCCCTCCCCCCCCTTTCCCCCTCTCCCCCCTCCTCCCCCCCTGCGCTCGTCATTCAACTGTCTTAATGTTTGAGCTCCTCCCTTCTTAAAATACTGTGTGCGTCACTGAGCATGACGGTAAGTACCCCTCCGACTGCGACAGCAATGGTCCCGCGAATCCTTCCATTAGAAACCTGAGTAGCCCTCATCTCATGGTCTGGTCATGGATGGTCTCAAAACTTTTCTGCGGCAAGCTTAGGATTCGTAAAGCCCATGGCGTTTCCAAGGCGGTGAGGGAATTTCTCACTCCATCGGATATCTCCAGATTGCGAATATACGAAACTGGGAACAAATAAAACACCACACCTATCCTAGTAGGTGGAATTCACAGAACAGGGAGATGAAGTGGCTGGGTTGAGATGGAATTTTCCTCTCGCGAGGCAAGAAAGAGACAGGGATCGAGGAGAAAACTCGGGTCGGTTTAATTGGCCACCAGAAACGGGGGACCATCTACGTCGAATCGCTAGACACAGGCAAATAAAGAACATCTCTGCAACGAACCCCCCTCCCCCCCCTCCCCCCCTCCGGGATGGCTTGCTTGACTCAATCGAGTCCAATTAGCTCGACAGGGTCGAGAACGATGGCTCACGAGCCATTCCTCGTTCGGGCGAAAAAAAAAAAGAGTCGGCCGAAGAGAAAGCCGGATGTGGAGAACGACCGGCCCCCGAAGGTCGCTGTATTGATTCGTTCCCTCAAAAAAGGTTTTCATCGATGTCGTCACTGACGTCTCCCGTGAAATATAGTTGGCGTCATGCATCTGTGTCGATGGCCTCAAATGGTCGGAGATATCGATTCGATGCTTTTTCTCCCTGGGTCCCTCGGTCCGACGGCGACGATTTCCTCATTCGCCGGCTATTGCGTTTTTTTTTCCCGAAAGGAATGTTGGCGAGGGGAATTCGGGAAATCCTGAGAATAAATTGAATCGAATGAATAAATATTCTGTTCGTGAGGCTCGAGATTTTCAGAACGTCCGAGTAATTGGGCGTGCGACCGAAAATGAAAAGAACAGCGGAATAATAGAAAGCTTTGCTATCAATATTTTTCAGCGTAGAATGGTTTGTCCCAGGGTATTCGTTTAGAAATTCTTCGAGTGCAGAACCCACCGAACGAAATAGCAACTATGCAGATTGCCATTTAAGAAAACATTAAGAGCATTATGTACTAATTTGATTTTATGCTCCTGAAAAAATACAAGTATAAGAGCATAATTTCTGGGACACAACGTATCTCGTGCTCTCTATGGATCTTTCATAGCAGTTAA